AGCAAATCGGTTGATCAGATCATGAAACAAAAAAAAATTAGACAGTTATTCCTTAATAAAGTTCTGATCAGTTTAAATTGCAAAAATAAATGTATGTGTTTACCAGACTTATCTTGAAAACAGTCCAAAGGATTCCATACTGTACACATACTGATTTGATGCAAAAGCCTTAAAAAATAAGAATTCATTAATAATACATTTTCATACATGAAGTTTATTTCTTAACGACAAGGATCGATACTGTACAACTGTAAATGGATGTAGGCGAAAGCCTGTCCACTTCTATAAAGAGAATACTGTCTAATGTACCATGCATGCTTACAGCAATTTATGATAACCAACCGAGTCGAACTGACACGGCATTTAACCCAATTTATGACAAAATCACATGCAGACTGCTAATAAAAAATACGTTTCATTCATTGCTGAAGATACAATATATATATGGTGAAATGATTTACCCCCAAAACACAGAAATAACACGTGTGTTTCTTCACCAGACTCCGCCTACAATTTGTTGACAAACCAAAACATTTCTTCCTTCAAACACTGAAGAGCGATTTTCGCGGGAATGCAAAAATGTCAACAAACAGTGGAAGACCACGCCGAAAATGTGTTTCTGTCTCTTTTGTTGGGGATGACGATGTAATAGGGCACATTTATGATGCCAGTCAGGGAAAGAAAGGTATTTATAGACAATACATCTTTGAGTAAAATCACTTTTTCAGTATATAGTAGGCCTAGTAGTAAAAAGAATAGACATAGTTCGAATTTCCTCACTTTGAATATCTGAGAATTTCTCACATAAGGTGTAAAATAAGTCTTTTAATTTAATCTACTGCAGTATGGTTTTTTGGTTTTTTATCTTTTAAATTCAAAAGTATTTGTTTTAAGGTCATTAATAGCCATTCTCTGTAACCACTTAAACTTCGTTGCCACGTATGGTCACCGATTTTGATGAAACTTCACCCATGCTTAGTACTTGACACCAGAAACAAATATCAAAACAAAATTTCGTTGCTATGTGTCTCGGTTGCTATGGCAACAGCCGGAAAAAGTTTGAAAAATCGAGATTTTCAGCCACTTTAAATCTTGACTGTGGCTTAATAAAAACTAGAAAAAAGCAAATAAACCATTCTCACAAAAACATGACTCCTTGATGTCACTTATACTGTAAAGAAGCTGTTTAGAATATATCTCTAAGTAAGTGGTAACCAAGGGTACTTTTGGAATATATTTAAAATGCTGAAATATGCTGAAAAACACTCCGTATTCACTAATGGTAAGTGTTACATGCTCAAACTCAATCAACGACTGAAGAAAAACAATGAAAATGTTTGACCTTAAGTATATAAGTATAAGCAATATTATTCTATAAATAACTTTTATGGTTGCCATGGTAACACAGTGTAACCATGCAAAACAAGTAACTAAGTTTAGATTAATGCTACTGTCTTGAGGAAAAGCATGAAAATCCAAGACTGGCAAATATGCATCCTTAGGACCTTGCAACACCAAAACCATAAGAAAAATTGGGTATATTTGCTATTTTGAAGTGTTACCATGGAAACAAAGTACCAGTGCTTAAAAGTGAATTAATTTTTGCTGCATTAAGAATTAAATTGCCATTTAATCAAGAAACAAATTAAAGGACTCAGCTTGAATAGTACTTATCTGTTAGAACTGAAGTTGAATATCATATGTTGATAAAATTTGATGAATATAACAACACTGTTGCTATAGTTACCAAGAAGGGAAAATGTTCGATTTTGTGAACTTTATATCAATATTAAACCCTGTGTGCCAACTTCTTGCACCCACTTAGAGATTGGATGATAGTCAAAATTAAAAGTCAAGTTAGCGTTTAATAAATATCAATCATAAAAGTTTTGGGAATCTACATTTAAGGGTACGTATCCAAGGAAAGAAAATATTTTTCAGGTTTTTAAGCATATATTTTCTGCTTATTTCCATAGCAACGTTCTATTTAAAGAATCTAATCTGAATTTTTTGAAATGGGAAAACTTGGAGCACACCACCATCTTATAAAATTGATCATTAGTTATGAGGAAATGTGCTTTTTTAAAAGATAGGATCTGATTTAAACATACAGAGTGTTACTTTGAAGGCTCTCTGTGGTATAAAAACCTTGGCAACCATAATTACCAACCAAAATGAAATATCATATTCTGTTTTTGGTATATGTTTCAAGGCTCTTTTTTCTATCATTTGGTCACATTTCATCCTATAATTGCTTTTTATTTTTACGTGTATGACTTCATAAAATTCAATGAATGTTTTTTTTTACTTTTGAATACTTTGTTACCATAGTAACGAATGTAATAGTTGATTTACCAAACATGTTTATCATGCATTTGAGACATCTGACCTTCAACGTTTGGAAACGGTCATTGCCAATTGTTTGCCTTGCCGCAAATGTTAACTATGGGGCTCTAAACATGTTAAAAAATGCCATTTTTCGAAATTTAAGACATGTTGCCATGGTAACTATAAAACCTAGCAACCAATTTTTGCCTGATTTCAGTTTAGGGTATCATTTACTTTTATCATAGAGAGTTTGGAGAAATTCTGAGACTATGCGTGCCACAGCTCCTATATAAAATTTCAAATCATTACAGAGAATGGCTCTTAATATTTATTTCCTTCCCAAATAATGATATTAAATGGGAATAATTAAACTCCTTTAAAGAAGTATATTGTAAAATATTCTATCTGGATGTACCACACACACATGTTTATTGAAAATGAGCAGCACTAGTAATATAACATTTTTTGTCCTTCTTGAATCTGATATAGTACAAGTAGGGACGTATAGACAGATCCTTAGGTACCGTAACCTGTAGTTAGAATAACCTAAACAGACATGTGTCTTAATCAGGTTGGGACCAATCGCCCTAATGGGATATAATAGTCTGCATCAGGACACTTAAAAAGGAATAACTTTTGGTTGACAAGTTTTTCTGTATGCCCATTGTTTAGGAGATTGATCCCTCGGAAGTTCCTTAACTTCTTGGGGATCAATCTTACAAGCTGTAGGGTTGCAGAAAAACTTGCTTACCATAAGTTATTCCTTTTTAAGTGTTTTGATGCGGATATATGATATTTATTGCCAAAATAAAATTTTTCAATTTTTGCACCGTAAATTTATAGTCCATTTGGGATATTATATCCCAAACGGACTATTATATCCCATTTGGGCGATTGGTCCCAACCTGTTAATACAAGCCCTATAACCATGCACAGTTAGAATATTTCTCATCTAGTTGCAAGGTAGCAATTATAGGAGCAGATCATTTTGGAACCAATTTTGAAAAAAAGGAGTTGGACTGAAAAGTAACTACAAAATTGAGCTTGAAATTTTTTAGTTTGTATATGCCCTCCATCTTAAAAGATAATTTATATAAAGACAAAAACAAAACAAAACCGTTCTTCATACCAGGTTTTTTGATAATTGGAACTCTCTGGATTATCCATCGTAATTTTATTGATAAGAATTATCTGTCCCTATTTTTCTACACTGCAGGAATTCTATTTTTAAACAGGTCCCCTTGGACAATTGCATTTTCTGAAAATTCTATCGATGTAACTTATAAGCATAGTTTTAACAGATAATCATTAATGTTGACTGTGTTGCGAAAACTGTCATTGTTTAACAAGAACATGTATTCCATTTAATAGGCAAAGAAAAAAAAGAAAAGAAATTTAATAATTTTTTTTTCAGCAAAACCTAGAAACAGATTATCTTTACAACATAAAAGGAGAAGTCAGTTAAAATACACAGAAGATATAGAAATCATTGAAAGAAGTGATAGTGACAGCAATGAGGAAAATATCCCTTCAGCAGGTAGTGATTTACATTTAATTTCTAATAGACAAAGGGGGAAGAGGATGGAGATGCTGCACATTTTATGAATGAACTGGAATAATCCTTTTTGTGATACTTTTTTTTTCTTCTGTGCTCTGTTAATTCACTTGTTATGAGAATATGACTATAACTTATTCATTAAGAAAAGTCATGTTTTCTTTGATTTGCTGTACAATTATCAGATTTTTAGTTAGAAATAAAACAGAATGTGTAATTGAATAAAATGTAAACACTGCATTTGTATCTGCATATCAAATTGTTTTTATCATTTGAAGTGTTTGGGGATAATGAAGAGGAAAATCAGGTTGCTGGGAGTGATTTGTTTCAGTTTAAAACTCCAAAAAAGTCAGGAAGTATGGCACAAAAAGGTACATGTATGCTCATATTATGTAGGAATGTACATGTTTGTTTGCTCTAACACAAATTCAACATGATTCTCTTTTGCCCAAAGTCCATTTGCTCTAAAACTTGATCACTGAAAGTCTGTTGCTCTTCGTATGAAGTCGTAAGTTTCGTAATTGTGTTTTATTTTATTGAATTTTCTGCTTTAGTTATAATTTATTCGATTTTATGTGAATGTTCATTATTATAAAGAAATATAATTACTCATAAGTAATCAATGTGATACGTACTGGTTAATTTATAATAAGTTATGTTATACACTGTATTATTATCTTTGTATTATGTTGAGAATAAAAGATTCTTAAAAATTAACCCATTGCTAAGAGGCTGCTCATCCAATTAAAATGAATAATATATCTCAATTTCTTAAAGCATTTTCAAAACATACATGTAATATGAAAACCCTATATATTTATCTATAGTATTTAAAATAGGGCAAAAGGGATATATGGGGAACAGAGTACAGGGGGAATGAGAATCATAGTGCACATTTACAGACCCTAAGCTTACATGCAGACTCTTGCAAATAGTAGATAGAGTGAACAGACCTACTACCAAAATGTAGATACTATGTATTGCACCAATAATTTTGTATTTCTAAGCTATATATAAAATCCTTGGACATCTTAAAGTTAAATTTGCCTGATAATTTTGATATAATAAGGTTTGACTGTACTGTGCATTTTACAAATTACTTACATTCACAAATCTTTGTTAAGCATCTGAGGCAAGAACACCAAAGACTCCAAAGTCCATTCTGAAGAGCAGCAGGAAGGGATCTGAAAGTAGGACTCCACAAAAAGGTTGGAGACCCGTTTTACAATATCTCACAGATTTTTTTTTTTTAATTTTAACTACTTTCGGATTTTTTTCACTAATTTGAATGAGGAATTAGTTTTGATTTATTTTTCACAAATTTATACTTATGGTAACTCCTTTAGGATTTTTTTCACCAATTTGAATGAAGAATTGGTTATGAATTATTGTTCACAAAGTTATACTTCTGGGTACAGTCCCTACAGGTGATAATTACTCGTATTTTTACAGGGGAAGGAACTCCTACTAAGGGATTACAAGTTAAGAAGAAAGGGAGGAAACCAGAGGCTACAACACCATTTAAGCTCCGGAAAAGAGCCGAATGTAAGTGTATGTTCAGTGATTCATTTTGCCCTGCGTATTGCGTAATTTACGCATTACATTCATTAAATACCCATTGGTTTTTGTCCAGTGCTTTCCGAATACGCATAAGTGATGACCCGGATAAAATAGAATCGAAGTTTCCAGTTTCTATTTTTATCGTTCATTCTATTTTTCGGAACAACTGCCACAAGTTTTAACATACTTCATTTTTCATTTGTCAACTATCAATCATTTAAACAAGAGACTGATAAGTATAAGATAAGGTAAAATAAGGCCTACATTTAACAGGTGTTTAATTGTTTAATGTGTCGTAATCAACTCACACTCACACATACAAAAGGTCATAAACCGACCCCGATTTTTAACAAAGAAAATAATCAAAGCAATTAACAGGACAGTAAATAATCAGTGCTCTAACTGTAAAAACATTGCTTTGGAGTCGGTAAACAATTAATTGCCTGGAGGGGTGTTGGGAGATAATTATCAAGTGACCAGCGCATGTGTTCACAGCATTGGTTTCCTTTCATTGGGACTTGTAGAGGGGTGTTTATTTGCAGTGAATTTTCACTGAGTTATTTAAAACCTAAAATATTTTTTTATTTTATTTTATTTCATTAAAAAAAAAAGATTACTTTGTCTGGCAGATAAGGTACATGTGTACTACGATTACGGAAGCATGTGGCAAAGGAATGTGTGACCATCTAAAAATAACATTGGTAATGACGGCCTACAAGGAGACGATAAACATGCAGCTCAAATTGATTTTAACTTGCTTTTTCATGTCATTTTAGAATGAAAAGATTGTGAAAGTGACATTTTTAACAAGTATACTTCCCAACAATAACTTCCAAAGTTTGAAATATGGCAATAAACAAAAGAAATTGCATATATGTCTCTAGGTAGTACTACGGTATGTACTTATGATAGCCATGTTTCACCTGAAAGAAAAACATATCAAAATCTTAAAATACGCACCCCTTTTCTCACAGAAATTTATTTTAGGAAAAAAGTGCTTATTATATTCCGCCAAATACGGTAATTGAAAAAAAAAAAAACTTTGCTTGATATCACATTCTTAGTTGTTGTTAAAATTCTGACCCATCACCCATTGATTTTGAGTTCTGACCGCTGACAGAGGGGTACACTGTACCCATTCAATCAATTTTCAAAATGAATCACTGTATGTTATACAATAATACTTGAAGATGGAGTGCAGTAAAACTTGATTATAGCGAAGTCCTGGGGACCTATGAATTTAATTCGCTATATCCATAATTCGTTATATCCATATAACGAATTCGTATAAGTACAGGTATATGTAGCGAATTCGCAATAAGCACATTTTCCTATAAGTATTGCTACAGAATATCATTGGGAATCAATTATTACAAAACATACCTTGGCTAAGTTAACTAAGGTTTTTATTATAAATCAAATTTCATTGGCAAATTCTTACTAAATATAAAGTCAGTTCAATATATCTAAGTTGGAGATTTTTGAAAATTCGTTATAAAAGATGTAAATTTCATTATTTTTAGCCTCAACAGGACTCAGAATCAGTTCGCTGTATCCGTAAATTCGCTATATCCAAGTTCGTTATAACCGTAAAATTTTACAAAGAATTGTTAATAATTTTGCCGGGGACCCAGAAAAACTTCGCTATATCTGTGTTTGTACTAAACGAGTTTTACTGTATTCCTATATATAAAATCCTCTAATCAGCTTCTCTGATCAGAATAATCAATATGTATATGATATGTTCAATTTTAATCAAACTCAAGACCAGCTATCCAGAAATGAAAGGATTAAGTTTTATTAGCTCTTCTGAGCCAAAAGCTCAGAGAGCTAATGCTATGGCCATTTGTGCGATGTGTGGTGTGCGTAAACTTTTTAGAATATGGGCCATAACTCAAGAACCCCTTGGCCAATCAGTACCAAATTTGTCACAGGGTATCCTTGGCCCAAGGGCTACCATTTATACTAAAATAAGGGTTGGGACCCTTAAACAAGGGGAGATAATCAGGAAAACAAAACCAAAAGTACTGGTTGCTAAAAAATCTTCTTCTCCATAACCACCAGGCAGATTTTCACCAAACTTACATACAAGAATCAGGATATGTCGAAGATTAAAATTTGAACGGGGAATTACCCTGGGGCAAAGGGCGTGGTCTCAAGGTCACTTCAAAGTTGACCTAAATTTATATTAATAAAAACGTGTATATTTTGCTTATTATAAGGACTAGGATCATCAAATCTTGTAAGTTGATGCATCTTACGACTTCAAATCATGTTGACTCAAAAGTAGGTCATGTTGACCTACTTTTTAAATTTTGCGGGGATTTGTTTTCAAATTGATTTGAAGGCATATTTTGGACACTTTAAGGCTTGTGACCTACTTTTGACATTTTATGGCTTGATTTAAGTATCTCTGGTACTTATTGGCTTAGAATCATCAAACTTTGTGAGTTGATGCATCTTGGGTTTTCGGAGAGTGATGACCAAAAAGTAGATCATATAGTGACCTACTTTTGACATTTGTGCCTATAATTAAGTATCTCTGGTACTTATTGACCTAAAATCATCAAACTTTGTCAGTTGATGGATCTTGGGTTTTCGGAGATTGTCGACCAAAAAGTAGGTCACAGTGACCTACTTTTGACATTTTATGGCTATTTAAGTATCTCAGCCACTTATTGGCTAAGAGTCATCCAACTTTGTCAGTTGAGGCATCTTGGGTTTTCAGAGAATGTCGACCAAAAAGTAGGTCACAGTGACCTACTTTTGAATGTCTCAGGTACGTATTAGCTTAGAATCATCAAACTTTGTCAGTTTAGGCATCTTGGGTTTTCGGAGAACGTGGACCAAAAAGTAGGTCACTGTGACCTACTTTTGACATTTTATGGCTATATTTAATTATATCTGGTACATACTGGCTCAGAATTATCAAACTTTGTCAGTTGAGGCATCTTACGGTTTCATTGAATGTCCAACAAGAAGTAGGTCACGATGACCTACTTTTGAATATCTCAGGTACTTATCGGCTTAGAATCATCAAATTTTGTCAACTTAGGAATCTTGGGGTTTTAGATAACGTCGACCAAAAAGTAGGTCACCGTGACCTACTTTTGACATTTGATGGCTATATTTAATTATCTTTGGTACTAATTGGCTTAGAATCTTCAAACTTTGTCAGATGATGCATCTTGGGTTTTCAGAGAATGTTGACCAAAAAGTAGGTCATGGTGACCTACTTTGGAATATTTTCAATCAAAAGGTTGGTCACTGTGACCTACTTATGGTATTTTATAATTATATTATAATATCTTCAGTCTTAACTGGCTAAATATTATCAAACTTTGTAAGTTGATGCATTTTGGGTCTTATGATACTTATAGAGTTGGAGGCTTCTAATAGAAGTGATAGATTGTACAATTTATCGGAATAGCGATTCAAGGCCCTTGGGCCTCTTGTTGCCACTGTGGTGGATATTCAAAATATAGTTGGATATTCAAAATATAGTTGAAATTGATGGAGTGATTTGAATATTTCTTTTGTTGGAATGCTACTGTACCTGAAAGAAACAGCCAATCCAAATTTCTAGGTGACATATCTTATGAAATTAGTTGCCACTTAGAGATCTGCTGTGCTACATGTAAATTGTATGTGGTATACAGATACACTCTATGCATCAGTCTTGTTGCCATGATTGTAAAATTGTAAAAAAAAAACCTTTACAAGTCTTTTGGATTGCTTCTACATGTAGCTCCTTCTGTTTTTAAGTGATCTCATAGAAACTTAGCTATAACATAACATTCTGGTTTTTTGGGAATGTTCAAGTCACCATAAGTGGGTGTATCACGTGTCTTTAGTACCATTTTAATGGACAGTGTGACCAAGACATATGATCCATAGCTCTCAAAAGGGGATTGTATTATTGAACTTTTTTAAACAAACAGAAGTGGCATTCAAATGATATTCTTTAAAAATGTGTGTTTTAGGTTCAAGCACATTCAATGAGACACCTTTGCATCACAATTTAAACTTTAATATGCAATTAACCCAAAATATTAGAATTGATTTGCCGAAGGTATATATACACATCCATTGCTTTAATACATTTTTATTGTTAAATCTATGGATTTATTGGACAGTTCATATTTTAAATTTTGCTTGTAAAATATTTACAATATGAATGATTTATTTGAATTTTGAAATCTAAATCCTTGGAAAATAAAAGCTTCCAATTTTTAGCTCACCTGATTCGAAGGCTCAAGTGAGCTTTTCTGATCACATTTTGTCTGCCGTCCGTCCGCCCGTCCGTCTGTCTGTCTGTCCGTCTGTAAACTTTTCACATTTTCGACTTCTTCTCAAGAACCACTTGGCCAATTTTGACCAAACTTGGTACAAAGCATCCTTGGGTGTAGGGGAATTTAAATTGTTAAAATGGGGAGATAATCAAGAAACGACAAAAGTAGGATGGGGTCATTAATAAATCTTCTTCTCAAGAACCACTGTGTCAGAAAAGCTGAAACTTACGTGGAAGCATCCTGGGGTAGTGTAGATTCTAAATTGTTAAAATCATTCCCCCGGGGGGGTGGGGGGGTGGGAGGGGCCACAATGGGGAATCAAAGTTTTACATAGAAATATATGGGAAAAATCTTTGAAAATCTTCTACTCAGGAACCACTGGGCCAGAAAAGCTGAAACTTACGTGGAAACATCCTGGGGTAGTGTATATTCTAAATTATTCAAATCATGACCCCCAGGGGTTGGGCGGGGCCACAATGGAGAATCAAAGCTTTACATAGTAATATATAGGAAAAATCTTTGAAAATCTTCTTCTGAAGAACCACTGGGCCAGAAAAGCTGAAACTTATGTGGAAGCGTCCTGGGGTAGTGTAGATTATAAATTGTTCTAATCATGACCCCTGGGGTAGGGCGGGGCCACAATGGGGAATCAAAGTTTTACAATGTTGAATCAAAGCATCCTATGGTAGTGTAGATTTCAATTTGTTTAAATTATGATCAGTTGGGTAGGGTGGGGTCACAATATGTATTACAAGGGGAAATCTGGTAAAGAACGGAATGGTCAAAGCTTCTCAGGTGAGCGATGTGGCCCATGGGCCTCTTGTTTAAAAAGTAAACTGTAATAAATTGTTCATAGTAAATCATTTAAAAAAATGAAACATTTAGTTGATTGAAGGGTACATTATACTTGACTGATATTATGGTCTATTTATAGATATCTGTGATGATATTGATGTGGACTCGGACTCAAGTGATACTGACAGTGGGGAGGGGGAAAGTGACACAGAAACAACCAAAGTCCCTCCTACCACCCCGAGGTCACGAAGAAAGATTCAGGAGGCAGCTGATATGGTGAAAGATTTATCACAACCTACATTTTGTATTCATTGGCCATTAAACTCAGAACTACATGTATACCAAGAAATTGCATTTATAGAGTACCTTCAATTATACTTTAATATGCCTGCAACGTTATTCAAAATCATGAAGTGCAAATTTATATGCATACAAAGGTCAGACTTGTGTATGAATGCTGTAGTGTAAATTTCAAATAAGAGAAGATACATATGATGTAAATGAAATTCATTTGATGGAATTGTGTAAATTTCACGTCGTTCTTTTCACTGGAAATTCACATTTAAAAATGTATATCTGCCCTTTCTTAATTCATCTATGATCTTGCATCTACCATAAGATGGGTAATTTCTCTGTCAGACATTACAATTTTAAGTGTGGCAATTCAGTTGAAGTCATAAGAAAGAAAACCGTAGGATATTCAAATTCATTGTCTTTGCTGTTGCAGATCTAAATGCCCTTTCTTGATCGCTCTAAGTGAGTCTCCGGTCCCAAATTTTTTCCCCTATATAACTAAGAAAATTTACTCTTGATTTCTCGAACTCTTGATCTCTCGAAACCCTTGATCCCTCGGAGTCAAAATGCAGTCCCGCTATGCATATTCTATTGAAATTTACCCTCGATACCTCGAAGTGGCTATGTGTATACAAAGTTACATAAATAGCAACTTTACCTGGACATTTAATGGCCCCTAGCAGAAGACGCGGGTCTCGTGAAACGGGATGTTTATTCAGGTGACACTTATACTGTACGGTTATAATTGATTTATAATTAATCTTATGTTGCCTATATGATGTCCGTAATTATAAAGAATGCATAAGTAAATATGAACTGACGATGTACATTTTTTGCTTTACTCAGTTTAATAAATATCAACTAAAATACGAAAATATATCATTGTTTTATAAAAACCACATGTAAAAAGTTAGCACTGCATGAAAATCATTACACCTGGTAAGACTAATTTTAAAACCTGTCAAACAAACCCGGGAAATTCCGGACTCTTGAAAACTCGAACTCTTGAACTCTCGAAGTTTTCCCTTGGTCCCACGGACTTCGAGGTATCGAGAGTTGCCTGTATTATCCTTTATACAGAAATGATATCGTGCAAATCCTTATTTTCAAAAACAGCCTCATATGGTAGAAGAATACTTTGACTTGCATTCACAAGGGGGGATGTCAATGGTAACATCGGACAGAACTCTAGCAAAGCTGGGGTCAACAAAGATGGACCAGGACTCGCTGAACGAACTTCTGAAAAGGATCCCAAGCAAGCACAGCAGTGAATGTAAACAAATGTATGAGGAACACAGAGAGCTCTTCTCCAGGTGGATGTTTCACATGTGGCAAGTAGACTTTCAATTTTACATCAAGTTTTTTAAAAAAGTTTTGTTAAGTTTTCAAGTCAGAGTTATCCAACCAGAAGTTAAGCTAAATACAATCAAACTTTAAGCAGTCACCTGTGGGAGCCATTTTAAATACCGTAGAAGTAGAAATTTTAGCAAGACGCAAATTTAGCAATTTCTACCTAAAATCTGGTACATGTATTTTATTTTTAGCGAGAAGTAATTTTAGTGATTTTGAAATGCTAACTAAAGAAGCTATTACAAATAATACGCAATCAATTTTTAGCGATATTCAATTTCAGCGATGTCAGCACCCTCGCCAATAATGCCAGAATTAAATCCTCGCTAAAAATTCTACTTATACGGTAACATTTATTCATATTATGAATAGAGGTTTATCTTTTTTTAAGAAGCGTATCTTCCAATTATGTGCATGGATTCTACTTTTTTGACATGGTATTCGGATATTGTTTAGGTGATTATTGAACCATCAAACTCTTTTATACATGTATTTTATTAAGATTACTGGTAAGCATGAAATTTTTTAGCTCACCTCAACGAAGTTGGGCGAGCTTATGTAATACCCTCGGCGTCGGCATCCCAGGTTAAGGTTAAGTTTTTTGGAGCAGTTTTCTTTTTAAGAACTTCTATGTCCTATATTGATTAGACATGCATGGAAGATGCTTTAAGTGTGTTTCATTGTACCAGTCAAAATTTCAGATGCTGCAATTTCAGCAAAAGAATGACCAGGTTAATGTTTTTGGAGCAGGTTAACATTTTTGGTGCAGTTTTTGGTGTAGGTCTCATTTCCAAGTAACTATAAGCCTATGTTGACCAAACTTGCATGGATGATACATCTAAGGATGCACACTACCGGGCTTGCTTCGGATGCTGAATCTGACCTACATTTCCCAGTTGAGTGAACAGGTTAAAGTTTTTGGTGCAGGTTTCATTTCCAAGTAACTATAAGCCCTATGTTGACCTAACTTGCATGGATGATACATCTAAGGATGCATACTACCAGGCTTGATTCGGATGCTGAATCTGTCCTACATTTTCCAGTTGAGTGAACAGGTTAAAGTTTTTATATCCCCCGCAAACGAAGTTTAGGGGGGGTATATTGGAATCACCATGTCCGTCTGTCTGTCTGTCTGTCTGTAGATAGATTTTGTCCGGACCATTACTCAGAAACTATTGGAAGGATTTGTCTGAAAATTTATACACATATTATTCACTATATGAAGGTGTGCACCTGATATTTTCATCTTGATTGGATGATTATTTTGAATTTTACAGGTGTTTTTTCATTTCTATTTTGTGGTCTTGTGCAGACCGTTTCTCACAAACTATTGCAAGGATTTATCTGAAAATTTGTACACTTATTATTCACCATATGAAGTTATGCACCTTGAATTTTCAACTTTATTTGTCCATTTTTCTGCATTTTACAGGTTTTATTTTTTATTTTAATTGACTTGTTCATTTTGGACTCATGTATAAGGTTTGAGACATAGAATCTAGAATATCTGTACAAAATGTGAACTATAGCTTAAAACAACTCATTAAAACTAAAAAAAGAAACATCAACTTATGTTTAAAACAGTTTTTACATTACACAGAAGATAATGTAAATTCATTTGTCTCTTGGGAATAATGACTGGACATGCGTCCAGTTAAAGATAAATTAATGAGTTTGGTCTTAGAAGTTGTTAAGGCATATCTCTTATCGAGCATCTGTGTTATCTAATCTCCAGGGAATAAGGCACAAGAATTAAAGATCTCTGTTTTCTTATTCTCTAAATTGTAATTTATTGTCTGTCAAAGCACTTCATTACTGGATGACCAGCTCTTTATTTTCAAAATGAATTTGATATATCAAGATTAATTTGATTTTGTATAATGATTTTTTTTTCCAACAATCAGTTTGCAGAGTTTCATGACACACAATTGCAATATATTTCTTTAATGCAGAAATAAAAAAAATGTTACAATGGAATTACCATGATTACAGTGTATTAGTATTGATGTTTCATTTGGTAGCACTTTTGTTTCATTCATTAAGAAACATAATGAGCAATTAAATATATATTTCACTTCAAATTTTTGTAAGTAAATTGTGAACACCTCTAGATCCATAAAGTATTGTAAATTGGCACCTTCTCTGAAAAACCCAGCGGGGGGTACCTATTGGACAGTTCTAGTTGGTGCAGGTTTCATTTCCAAGTAACTATAAGCCCTATGTTGACCAAACTTGCATGGATGATACATCTAAGGATGCATACTGCCAGGCTTGCTTCGGATGCTGAATCTGACCTACGTTTTCCAGTTGAGTGAACAGGTTAAAGTTTTTGGTGCAGGTTTCATTTCCAAGTAACTATAAGCCCTATGTTGACCAAACTTGCATGGATGATATATCTAAGGATGCATACTACCAGGCTTGCTTCGGATGCTGAATCTGACCTACATTTTCCGGTTGAGAGAACAGGTAAATGTTTTTGGTGCAGGTTTCATTTCCAAGTAACTATAAGTCCTATGTTGACCAAATTTGCATGGATGATACATCTAAGGATGCATACTGCCAGGCTTGCTTCGGATGCTGAATCTGACCTACATTTTCCGGTTGTGTGAACAGGTTAAAGTTTTTGGTGCAGGTTTCATTTCCAAGTAACTATTAGCCCTATGTTGACCAAACTTGCATGGATGATACATCTAAGGATACATACTACCAGGCTTGCTTCGGATGCTGAATCTGACCTACGTTTTCCGGTTGAGTGAACAGGTTAAAGTTTTTGGTGCATGATTCATTTCCAAGTATCTATGAGTTCTTTAATGACCAAACTTGCATGGATGATACATATAAGGATGCATACTACCAGGCTTGCTTTGGATGCTGAATCTGACCTACATTTTGTGGATGAGTGAAAATGTTAGTTTTTGATGCAGGTTTCATTTCCAATTAACTATGAACCCTATAATGAGCAAACTTGCATGGACGATATATCTTAGGATGCACACTAATGGACTTGCTTCGGATGCTGAATTTGACATACATTTTTCAGATAATGGACCAGGTAAAAGTTATGGGTGCAGATCTATTACCAAAAAACTATAAGGCTTATATAACATTGTATAAACCAAACTTGCACAAATGATGCATCAAGGGATGAAAACTCTCAAATTTGCTTCAGATGCTGGATTTTAATTACATTTTCATGAAGAAAAACTAGTTTTAATTTTTTATATAGGTCTATTTCAAAGTATCAGATCAAAATTGCTTAAATATTTTCATTTTTGGAATGTACACTTTTTGTTTGTTAATTGTGTGACTTTGCCTTACTTAAAGACAACATTCGTTGAGGTGAGCTCTGTAATCTCTGATTACCTATGTTTAAAGTATATATTTGTTAAATGTTTGTGCAGAAATTAAAAAAATAAGGTACATTACCTTAGAATATAAAATCCTCAGAAAATGTGTGCAGGTTCTTTTTCTTTCATTCTTTCTTTATAAAAAGCCTTACTGGTGTTTTCTCTTTGCAGCAATGGATACAATATATTGTTACATGGTCTGGGCTCCAAGAGAACTTTGATTGAAGACTTCAGAAGATCTGAACTAAAAGATGTAGATCATATTGTTGTTAATGGGTATTTTCCAAGTCTGACCATTAAACATGTAAGTGTTAATTTCATATGTAACTGCAATACCCAGTAGGGATTTGTATTTATCATTGTCTGTGAGGTTCAAACATACATTACTTTCCTAATGATGTAACATGGTAGTTTGTTGAGCATTCAGGTGACTCGATCAGCACATTTATTATATACCTACTGTGTATCACTCAATTTTACTGTTGATTTAACGCTATCATGTGATGTGATCCGACTTTCTGGATCACCACACTGTGGTTTTCTGAATCCATATCACCACTCTCTGAAACTGATGATGTAGTACGCAGAAACATGATGTTATTTTTCTCACGCGTTAAAAAGTCCCTTGTAATTATGCTTTGTTTTATTGATAAATATTATACAATTGATCTCTAAAGTGTTATTTTGCTCTATTTAGGTAGTTATGAGAGGGTATATAATAAATTTATCATTATAACAGTAACTTGATCCGAAGAGCTGTAGCACATCTTGTTGACTGGCACGGATCATCAGATCAAACTCGACGCTTCGTTTCTGTTAGATCTGATGATCCGCGCCTGTCAACTCGACGTGATACGACCCTTCGGATCAAGTTACTGTTATAATAATATGTATGGATTTGTAATTTTATATACTGATATTCTCGTATCAAAAATACACTATGGAATCATTAATTTACACTGATAATAATTATACCTGTGTATCACTATGAGCTTTTTCTGATACAATTACCTCCAGCATCTGTTTAGCTGTCTGTCCATCTGTAAACCTTTTTACATATGTTAAAAAAACTTAGTGAAAGCTTCTTTGTAAAGTGTAGATTCAAAGTTTGAACAAATTATGACCAAGGGGTAAAGGGTTGGACCAGCGTAACTTCATGGTCTCCCCAAGATCAAACTTGAATGAATGATGCATTAAGAGATAAATACTCTTAGACTTGTTCCAGATGATGTATCTGACCTACATTTTCTGGATGAATGACCAGGTTAAGATTTTGAAGAAGGCTTATTCCAGTGTAACTTCAAACCCGATGTGGACTAAGTTTGAATGATTGTTGCATCTTTGGATGCACTAATTTTGAATGGTTGTTGTACATGTATCTTTGGATGCCGACTATCAGAATTGACATGAATGCTGGATTTGACCCACATTCTCAGGGAAAGTTTTTAGAGCAGGTTGATTTCCACGTGTCTATAAAACTTTCTTGGACCAAACATATTGATGCATCAAGATAAGCACACTATTAAACAGACATGCTTTATATGTTAGATCTGATCTCCATTTTTAGCTCACCTGAGCCGAAGGCTCAAGTGAGCTTTTCTGATCACATTTTGTCAGTCGTCCGTCCGTCTGTCTAGCTGTCTGTCTGTCTGTCCGTCTGTAAACTTTTCACATTTTCGACTCCTTCTCAAGAACCATAAGAACCAATTTTGACCAAACTTGGTACAAAGCATCCTTGGGTAAAGGGAAATTTAAATTGTTAAAATGAAGGGCCAAGTCCCTTCACAAGGGGTGATAATCAAGAAAAGACAACAATAGGGTGGGGTCATTAAAAGAACCACTAGGCCAGAAAAGCTGAAACTTATGTGGAAGCATCCTTGACAGTTTAGATTCTAAATTGTTCAAATCATGACAAAGGGGTTGGGCGGGGCCACAATGGGAAATCAAAGTTTTACATAGAAATATATCTCTAATTAGGAAAAATCTTCTCAAGAACCGCTGGGCCAGAAAAGCTGAAACTTATGTGGAAGCTTCCTGGGATAGTGTAGATTTCAAGTTGTCTAAATTATGATCAGTGGGGTAGGGTAGGGTCACAATATGTAATACAAGGGGGGAATCTGGTAAAGAACAGCATGGTCAAAGCTTTTCAGGTGAGCGATGTGGCCCATGGACCTCTTGTTCAGATGAGTGACAGGTGAAGTTTTAAGGACAAGCACATTCCTGGGTAACTGCAAACCCAATTTGAACTAAAATTGCATAAATGTTGTAACTATAAGGATGTAAACCTCCAGATCACTTGTTTAATTTGCGACTTTGCTTTACTTCAATTATATTTAAGAAATAAAGTCCACGTTTTCATGAATGTTACAGAATAACCTCCGAGGTCGAGATATGTTGTTTGAAAGATAAAAGCCGAGGCTTTTATATTTCAAACAACATTTCGAGACCGAGGAGGTTATTCTGCATCATTCATGACAAGAAGGACTTTATTTCTATTCTTCCATGTCAACTACAATCACTAAAATACGGCTGATTGTTTCCTCTATAGAGAAACGAATTAGGTTCCTCTATAGAGAAACGAATTAGGTCACCATGTCTCAATTACACTGTTCCATTTAACACCAGAGGTAAAGTTTGTTTGCTTACCTGTGTATGGAATGCAGACGATTTGAGCTTTCGTTACATTAAAAATAGCCTTCTTAAATTACAAATTTGTTCGTAATATGTATTGATCAGTTATAATGAATATACAATAACAAAATCATGTTCCTGTTTCACTGCTAAAATCACGTTGTTTAATGTGTAGGGAGGTCCGTGGAATAGCCCCGCTTAGCTATAAAAACCGACATTGATCTGCAACTTTATGCAATTTACAGTGTTTATACTGCTAAAGATGACACATCGATGATGCGGTCTAAACAAGTATTTCATTCTACAGCCAAACATGCATTTGAATTGTTCAGATTTGATACGTGTTTCTGATCTGATAATTTTTTGATGACGTTCATGATCTATTGGAGAATAATGTCCGCGGCTTTGCTTTGATCTTTGCAGTAAGCGTGGTAGAATTGTTGAGGTTAGTTCTTATTTTTTGCATTACCATGTTTCAGATTTTGAATACTATAATTGATGATATACTAGAAGTAGAGGGCAGCCACAGAAGTCCTCTGGATCAAGTAGATTTCATTAAATCACAGTTTGAGACAAAAGGTAAATCTAGATAGAGGAATACCATAGTTATAAGTTTATATGACATAGGTTGTCACAGAAGTCTGTAAATCCATAGTACAATACATGTGAAAACAATATAACTAATAATAGGTCGTATACTTTTCCTCCAAAGATTACAGGGATTTCTTCCTCATTGTACATAATATTGACGGGGTAATGCTGCGTCCGGAGAAAGTTCAGAATATTCTAAGTTTGTTGAGCCAGATTAGAGGATTCCATATTATAGCTTCCATTGACCACATCAATGCTCCACTTAGTAAGTGTACAGTTTCTGCTTTTAATATGTTGGAGTTGTGGAAACATGTACTGTAAATCACTTTTTATTTGCAACAGCTTTATTTTCACGTTATTACACAAGGCAGTACATTTTGTATATACAGTATATGTCATTCCATGTCAATATAACTCATTTAAAAAAAAAAAATTAATTTATATCAGGTTGATCTTTTACGAATGCCAGTTTTCAACCTTTTAATGAACTAACAAAGATTTAAACTTTTGTTTACGGAAGGCAGTACATGTATTGAAAAAGTCTATTTTTGGCATAGCTAGCTGGGTGTTGCTAAAATGCGGAACGGAAAACGGAACGGAAAGCGGAACGGAACGGAAAACGGAATATATTATTTTGGATTAAATCACTTAAAATACACAAATTTTATCATAAACGATATATCATGTACACATTCAATTCCCCAACTATTAAATACAAGTTTTGATTTTGTCATGCTCAGTCTCTTATTTACAAAAACTCGCTAACATAGCAGTCACATAGAATCGAATTTGAAAGGGGGGGGGGGTAAACGAACTTGAAAAGTATTTGACAAGCAAAAAACACAAAAAGGAGACAATTGTTTGATTCGGGAGGGGAGATAAAACACAAAAAGAAAACAATTGTTTGATTCGGGAGAGGGGATAAGTTCCAACTCCCAACATCTTTCAGTACTATTTTTTTTACACTAACTTACTACATTTCTTATATTCACAAAAAGGGTGAGAATGTGAACTTGAACGAACATTTCCATAGTAAAAAGGTTATGACTGGGCGGGGGGGGGGGGGGGGGCAAATATTTGATATCTAAATGAACCATGGAAAGAGAAAAAAAATGTTTAAAAAAATATTAAGATTACGTTTAGGGCAAACCTTTACGGCAAGCTCGAATAAACATCTCTTATACACACTGGTTTTTTAAAATTTTATTCAAAATATAGTCCTTTTCTGGATAGACAAAGTTGTGGTAGATATAATGCAGATTGTAGAATCCTTGCATTTATTGAAGTTAAATTTTGTTTGTTTGCGGCACATATGTGTGCATGTTTGGGGGGTGGAGGCGTATATGAATGACCCCGTAAAAAATGAGTGTGTTTTCCCGCTCATCGGAAAGGTCTTAGAAGTTGTAATAGATCTGCCCCCCCCCCTTTTTGTGTCCAAAATGTACACAAGGTTTAATAAATCAATTTTTGAATGTGGCTGTGGGCCCCTACACAGACCCGAAACTGCCACCCCCTTTCTTGACTCGCGAATTCGACACTGCGTGCATAATCTGAATAGCATAACTAGTTATACCCCCGCTCCGAAGGAGAGTGGGGTATACTGTTTTACCCTTGTGTGTCTGTTTGTCTGCGTGTCCGTGTGTCTGTCCGTAACGAATTTTCGTCACAGTTTTCTCAGTAACTACTTATTGAAGATGCTTGAAATTTTAACACAATCTTCTCTGAGTTATGCTGTACGGTAGGAATCATTTGTGTTTAAATTCGATCTAAACTTCCTGTTAATCTGTGTGTCTGTCCGTTTCATACATAACAATTTTTCATTGCAGTTATCTCAGCAACTACTCATCACAGATGCATGAAATTTAAACACAATCTTCTCTGAGGCATGCCATAAGTTGGGATACATTTTTGTTCAAATCCAACTTCCTGTTTGTCTGTGCGTCTGTCCGTTTCATACATAACAAATTTTCGTCGTAGTTTCTCAGCAACTACTCATCGCAGATGCTTGAAATTTTATTACAATCTTCCCTAAGGCATGCCATACTGTGGGATACATTTTTTTTAAAATCCAGTGTCAACTTCCTGTTTGTCTGTGCGTCTGCCCGTTTCATACATAAAAAATTTTCGTCGCAGTTTTCTCATTAACTATTCATAGCAGATGCTTAATTTTAGTACACTCTTTGTGGAAGCATGTCATATGGGAGGATTAATTTTGATATGAATCTGATGTCAACTTCAAAGAGCCAAGTATGTTAGTAAGAAAAATCGGCCTTTCTTTGAAAATTGAAAATAATTATAAAAATATGACTTCAGGATGTACACTTCATAAATATATAAACAATTTTCATCTATCTTTTATAGTTAAGTTGAAATGACTCTCTGAAGATGGGGTGTATTTTATTGCATTTCACAGATTTGAGCACTGTGACGTCATTTTTACCATCAATTAAGAACATTTTAATAACAAGTTTTATGTTTCAATGTATGTTGTAGGTAAAAGATTTAATATTTAACTGTTTGAATTGCATTGTTTATTTACCTTTACAAAAATATTGTGCAAAAATTTTTTTTTAAAAACAAACGACTTCCAATATCTCTGTATATATCTGAATGTCATAATTGCTGTCAATTTTTTGCATAATTTGCTGTCTATTTTTCTCCTTAAATCAAGACATTTTTTTCAGTAATGTTTAACATCGTAGATCATAATTGCTAAAAGATCCTTAAAAGTAGTTTTTAAAGGATCTAAAAAAATAAATAAGGAAATATCACTTTCTTCAGCATTTATTTTGACCTTTTTGCACTTAGGTTTAAAATATGTTACAAAGCAAAAAACCATCCTTTTGAGGTAAAATAATAGAATTTAAAACAGTATTAGGTAATATTTGTTTAAAAGATAATGATGTACAGCAAAATTAAAAATGAAGAAATTTTATGTGCAGGATATAATGATATTAATGACAATTGAGCACTTTCTTTTGGTTTATGATGACTTTGCACATTAAATGGATCTTTGAATGTGCACCACTGACAAAGAATTTATTGAAACATTTTTCTAACTCACAAACAGGAAACTTGCAAAGCTATACAAAACAACTAACATAAATTCACATAAAAATACCATTTTATTTCTTTTGAGAAAAAGATCTTCTAAAACTCTGTAAGGTATAAGATGACTTGCTTTTGTTGTTTAATATTGTAAAACTGTTCAAATTGTAGCTGTACATAAAAATCATCAAGTTCTGATCCATTAATGTGAGTTCAACTATAAAAACTTCAAATACAGAAACAATTTGCTATGTCTTTGTATTTTTTGGCTCTGAAGATTTAAAATAATTACATATTTAGCAAACTATATAAAAACATTATAAACAAAAATATCTGAAAAAAGGAGATTACATGCCTATAACCACACTGGACATAACACTCACACTGTTCAAAGAACTATATATGAAATTATTAACTTTTTTTATACATTTTGATAAGGGTTAGGGACACAAGAAAAAGTTCCAATAATTACCTGTCAATCTAAATGAATAACCATAATTTGAAAATACACAATCAATAAGTTAAAGCTTTCTTGTCTTTATTCCTCAGTGGCTTCAGTTTCACTGTCGCTTTCGTCAACTATCTCTGGAATGTCCGCTGCATCACATACATTGTCTAGCCAGTTCTTGCCTAATTCAAGGTTGATCACATCAGAGTATCTAGCAAAGGACAAGTACCAAATAACACTGGCAATGTGTGCACAGGTTCCAACTACTCGCTCTCCCGACTTACAACGGCAATACCAAGAGGTCACGACACCATCCTCAAACCTAATCCAGCACAGATAGCATTTGCTTGAGATATGTCTACTTTGGATCTTGGCAGCAAGGAGGCCTGGTTTGAACTGATCAACCCATATCTCAAATCCATCCTGGTTCACATGTTCCTGGGTGTAAAATTTTGCCAATTTAATTTGATACACACCAAGAGTCAATTCCCGAATTTCTTCCTCTGTATACTTTGGAAAGTCAGTAATGGTGTTCTCCTCATCATCAATCTTCCTCCAATTATATCGCTTCTTCACTAGATTTTCTAACTCTACTTCTGTCTGCAGCCGATTTGTCTGGGTAGAGAGGTATCGCATCTTTGTTGCAATCTGGAAATCATTCTCTTCATCTCCACTGCTTAGAGGGGGCCTAGAACAATTTTTTTCAAAATAATTACAATGTTTTTTTTAAATTGAATTTTTCAAAATAGAAATTAAAAACTTGTTCAGGCAGTTGCAAAGTTTTTGAATTTTACCTATGAAATGTACCTGTATTTGTTGCAGATTGCACTTATAATTCGCACATAGTCACCAACATATGGGATCTGGGAATTAGGGAGTTGTCTTGCCAAGTACCGCCATGTCTTAATTCTCGCATTCACCGATTCTACCACCCATCGTATCTGTTATAGGAAAAATTCATAAACTCTGTTAATATACGGATACATTCACGCATATCTTATTCACATGTCTATAATCAATCATAATTCATTTACTGGGTGCATAAAAACATGCAGACAAGTACCTTTGTGATCATACGAGAGCTATTGGCATCCTCTTTGGAGTGTTGCCTCTGGCCTTTTTGTAAAAAAGAAGGCATCTCCATATGAATTCCCAGATTTTCTAACACTCCTGCAGAATCCCTAAAACCCCTATCCACTATCATGATATCATCCTCCTGGAGCCAAGTCTTAATTTCTTGAGTGTCTGTACCAATGATGTGTTTTAAAATGTTTGCATCAGAATTCTTTCCGTCAGCTAAATACGGTCCAATGGCAGCTACGATATAACCTGTGGTTGTGACAATCATCATTGGTTTCAGTAGATGCCTGTTTATAAATAATCATTCAATATTCAATAATTATGAATTCATAGCTTAAAAAATTTTAATTTTACAAATATAACTTACATGACATTTTGAACAAATTTTGAATAGCTACAAATGTTTTCTTTCCATGAAAACTAATTTGCAAAATTGTACTATGATAAAATTTCAAGTAAGTTGCATTAATTCATTTGTTGAAATACAAAAGTCCTAACTTTAACCAATCAAAGTTATGGGCAAGGTTATACAGAGTTTTTGCAGACTACAATCTGACAAACACAGCAAGACATTTGGTATATGCCACCTAAATTAAAGAATCATTTTTAATTATATATTTGATATTTCTCACCTTTGTTTTTGAAAACTGTATGACCGCCTTTGAAAGGAAAACTGTGAACTCTTTTTAACATATATATATGTTCCATCCAGCACTAATATGGCCTGGTTGAGGGTAGGAGAGAACAGTTCTTTGGCAAGGGGTCTGGTATGGTCATGGATAACAGTATCCCTGCTGATATGATTGAAACCAAGGTGATTAATGGGACAAAGTAGATGCTAACTGCTTGTCTCATAGTGGATACAGCTCTTCTAATCTAAAACAAAAATTATTTACTTACATGCAGCGCTGCAATATAATATTTCCTTTTAGCAAGATTGATTTTTTTCATCTCTAATTCACAAATTTTCCGATAGAATAATGAAAATTATGCAGTGGAACAATTTTTGCTGGTATAATTAATATTCCACTTGTACTGATCTCTATTAGCATACACAAATAATTATGTAGAATCTGAATAAATCTATGAGAATTAGATCTCATAATTCAGCTTTAATATATTAGCTAATAAAAATTTTTATTTTAAATTCCTTCCTACCTGTGGTTTAGTCATGTTGAACAAAACTCCCAGCATGTTGTTATCCATAGCTGTCCTCAATTTGGTCAGAAAAATCGCTAAACAAGTTCTAACGCTCCTTGATTTAGATGACCTAACGTCTCCAGCTTCCACATAAGATAACAGATCATCAAATTCTTTTTTTCCAAGTCCAGTGAGAGTAAAATAGTCACTTTCTTCTAAAGATGAAGGGTCATCAAAGTCTAATCTCTTTGATCCTCTTATTAATAGTTCTTCTCTGAGTTGTTCAACAAGCTCCATAATTGTAGATCTGTTGACAAAACTTGTGTCCTTTGGTGGTATTGGGTTCTCTATAGTCTTGGTGTTTACGACGTCATTCAGTATGTGCGCTGGACAACAACGAGAACCTGCATGTTAAAACAAATTATTTAATAATTATACTTCTATCAATTTAATATTATCAGTATGCATGTATACACTGAATACACATTAATACATGTACTACCAGTAATATAAATATGTTAAGAAAAACTATTCATACCTGCAGGTATTAGAATGTTCTGCTCCAGTCTATATCTTCCTGTAATTGAACTTGTGTATATTAACATTAGGGATGTCAACGAGTACCCGGTTAACCGGGTACTCGATCGAACGTCCGAGTATCGAATACTAAAATCGGTACTCGGTTACTCGGATGTATATTTTTGAATATTTCATAGCTTATTTATTAATCCAATAAAAATCTGTTTTAAAACGTAAAATGCTTATTGTACTTGTACATACAGTAATTAGGGTTTCCAACACCTCTAAATGACCGTTATCGCCTTTGACAGTGTTTATATAGTAATTATCGTGACCAAGCACCTGCTACCTGGCCTTCTCACCTTTGGCTGTGAGTGTCTTCTACCATTATTTTTGATTTGCTTTGTTTGTTTTCACTGAATATCATTTAAGGTCTAATATGTTTAAATAAATTAGATAATTTTGTCAATTCTCCGAGAGGGTAAGTTCTCGGAAAAGCGTGCGATTGTTGATATGGTTGTGTTTGATTACACGCCAATACAATTGGTTGAAGGCAAAGGCTTTTAAAAAGTGATGTCCATCGTTGCACTATACTACAAAATACCGTCCCGAAATACTATATAATATAGGAGTGAAAAAGTGTGCGAAAATAGTAAATCCACTCTGTTTTGAGAACTCAAGGTCAAGTTCAAGTTGATACTACACGTAGATCTGACGACTGATACCTGGACGTCAAACGCAACAAAGAGTTACAATTTACGGAAGGAGTATTTTTATTAAAAACAAAAACAGTGTGAACCACTTATGATTATATTTCTTGTGTTTATCTGATATTTTTAAAAAAAATGTTATATTAAATTTCGTCGGGCACGAAGTGCTTATCATTGTTAAATCAGAAATACATTTACGGGTAAACCTCCTATCAAAGCATGTGGTTTTATTTCTACAAGAGTTTTCAATGTTTTACAGTCATCAATTTACTTATTTGTATTTATTTATTTATTTATATATATTTATTTACAATTTTTACCGAGTACCCGGGTACTCGATCGGAAAAACGTCCGAGTAACCGAGTACTAAAAATTGACCGATTTGACATCCCTAATTAACATGGTAGTGTTTATTTACATCAGAGCGGGGGTATTACTAGTGAGCATTGGCTTACAGATTTCTTGTTATTTTTGTCTTTTCAGACATTGACATTGGAAACAGATTGAAAGAGGGGGTGGGGCGTGGGGGTCAGAAAAAAATTTCCAACATACAACCAATTTGACAAGCAAAAAAAGGGGGATATGTCCTCTGCCCAAATACGAAAATCCTATAATTTCGTGTGGGGGGGATTTCTTTCAGTAGCATTTTTTCCACGGAGGGTGTGTATGACTCATGAATATATAATAGTTTACAATAAATTTTTATTAAAAATGACTTTAACAACAAGAATATTGCTCTTTCATATGATTTATATTGAATCTATGTTATTTGTTTGACAAAAAAATTTCCGTTTTCCGTTCCGTTCCGCTTTCCGTTCCGTTTTCCGTTCCGCGTTTTAGCAACACCCTAGCTAGCTAATGGATAGTTACATATTTTATCTTGGCAGTATGGGACCAGACAAAGTGCAGTCGATATTGCTGGCTGTGGTACGATGTCACCACGTACTTACCATACACTGACGAGACTTCCTACGAGAACTCGCTTCTGGTGCAGCAGACAGGTGCCCTCGCTCTCAGTTCTATGTCTCACGTAATGAAGAGTTTAACCACTAACGCTAAACAGATATTTATACTGCTGGCCAAACACCAGATGGAGAACAAAGATAGTGGTACCTATATAGGTAAGCAATTTTATTTTCTTCAAAAATAGGACTGGGCATCGGCTTGGAATTAAGTATCGGACATGTGTTGCAATATTTTTAATCAAAATTTAAATGATTAATAATTTAAATGGTCTTTTTTGTTTTAATAATTTCCATTTATAAACAGAGTGTATATACGAGGGTTGTTCGAAAAGTTGGTGGACAACTGTCATATCTTTTTTATTTGACGTCATATGTTATCCAAATTTGGTAGGAATATTTTATCAATAAATCTAAATGATGTGCATTAATTTTGACAAAATATTACGATTGATTAAAAACTTATCCAGATTTTAAAACTGCAAAAATCGGATCGCGGAGCATGTCAAAATTTAGTCAGTTACAGACAATACAATAAATAATGTCAAAAGTCATATTCTCTGTAAAATGGAGGAAAAACGAAAAACTACCTAGAAATTCAAATTAAGAATTGTTACATCGATACGTGTACCAAATTATGGTTTTATATTTTGCTTAGTTGAAAAGATATCAACTTGAGAACATAAGTAGTCCTTATTGAAAACGACAAAAACGATGACGTTCTAGAACGTCACGGAGCAGCAGATACCGAAGCAGTTTTGTGTTTTTCTCTGGAAAAATCCTGAATAAACTCTAAAAATGTTTAAGGAATCAAGGAAATACGTCACAAGCGAGTTGTGCATGTGTGTACAAATAGTACAGGCAATATTTGAGTGACAGAGACTCTGTATCAGATGAGGATGACCTGTGAAGAAACGGTCTTACTGTAAACTTCTTAACAAAACTTAAAAATTTGAAACGTAAATGAAAGACAAAGGCACTTCATAGATTCTTATCCTGTGAAAGGAGAGTTAAGTACTAAAAGAAATTAAAACCTTAACAAGGGAAATTATACAATGAGATCTATACTTAAAAAATAAATGTCAAGCATTAGAAAAAGAATTTAATGAATGGGCATTGGAATATTCTGTGTGAGATGTATAGGTATAGTATCTATTATAAATTCTCGACGCTATGTGTTGACGTTACATTACCGTTTTGTGTGCTCCGCGGATACAAAACATGTTGATTTTAAAATGAAGTAAATTTATTTGTGTTCAATCAAATGGAATGAAACTTCACACATCAACAAAACAATTATTTTTACATATTATAATGTGCTTGTTTTAAATTTCCAGTGAGTAATATAACGAAGATGGACATCGTCCACGAACTTTTCGAACAACCCTCGTACAACTAAGTCTGGTCGTGTGGTTAAACCAAAACAGATCCTTGACCTATAATTTCAGTTAAAATTTTCCCTGAAATATAAATAAAATATAAATTTGTTAATTAAACATGTGTATATAGTCAAAATAATTTTTAGCTCACCTCAACGAAGTTGGGGGGAGCTTATGTGATACCCTCGGCGTCGGTGTCGGCGTCAACGTCCTGGGTTAAGGTTAAGTTTTTTGGAGCAGTTTTCTTTTTAAGTACTTCTATGTCCTATATTGATTAGACATGCATGGAAGATGTTTCTAATGTGTTTCATTGTACCAGTCAAAGTTTCAGATGCTGCAGTTTCAGCAAAGGAATGACCAGGTTAATGTTTTGGGTGCAGGTTAACATTTTTGGTGCAGTTTTTGATGTAGATCTCATTTCCAAGTAACTATAAGCCCTATGTTGACCAAACTTACATGGATGGTACATCTTAGGATGCATACTACCGGACTTGCTTCGGATGCTGAATCTGACCTACATTTTCCGGTTGAGTGAACAGGTTAAAGTTTTTGGTGCAGGTTTCATTTCGAAGATACTATGAGCCCTATAATGACCAAACTTGCATGGATGGTACATCTTAGGATGCATTCTACTAGACTTGCTTCGGATGCTGAATCTGACCTACATTTTCCGGTTGAGTGAACAGGTTAAAGTTTTTGGTGCAGGTTTCATTTCCAAGTTACTATGAGACATATAATGACCAAACTTGCATGGATGGTACATCTTAGGATGCATATTACAAGACTTGCTTCGGATGCTGAATCTGACCTACATTTTCCGGTTGAGTGAACAGGTTAAAATTTTTGGTGCAGGTTTCATTTCCAATGTACTATGAACCCTATAATGACTAAACTTGCCTGGATGGTACATCTTAGGATGCATACTACCAGACGTGCTTCGGATGCTGAATCTGACCTACATTTTCTGGACGAGTAAACAGGTTAAAGTTTATGGTGCAGGATTCATTTCCAAGTAACTTTGAGCCCTATAATGACCAAACTTGCATGGATGGTACATCTAAGGGTGCATTCTACTAGGCTGGCTTCAGAAGCTGAATCTGACCTACATTTTCCGGATTAGTAAAAAGGTCAGTTTTTTATACAGGTTTCATTTCCAAGTAACTTTGAGCTCTATGTTGAACAAACTTGCATGGATGATACATCTTAGGATGCACACTAATGGACTTGCTTCAGATGCTGAATTCAACATACATTTTCCAGATAATAGACCTCGTAAAAGTTATGGATGCAGGTCTATCACCAAGAAACTATAAGGCTTATATAAACCAAAGTTGCACAAATGATGCATCAAGGGATGAAAACTCTCAATCTTGCTTCAGATGCTGGATTTTAATTACATTTTCATGATGAAGAACTAGTTTTAAGTTTTTATATAGGTCTATTCCAAAGTATCAAAATTGCATAAATTTTGCATTTTTGGATGTTCACTTTTTGTTGGTTAATTGTGTGACTTAATTTGCCTTACTTAAAGACAACATTCGTTGAGGTGAGCTCTGTAATCTCTGATTACCTATGTTTATGTTTGTGAGGCATGTCAGCATGGTCTTGTTATAATGGTCAATTAATGCATTTTTGCAACTTAATTCCTTATAAAATTATCACTGTAGTAGTTGGGCATTCAGCCACTACTAATGTAAAAGTTTCATACTTCGCGTTATGTGTTTTTTTTTAAGATGTTCCTTTCAATAGTATTTCAACCTTTATTAACCCTTTTGATTTTCCGCCTGTAGTGAGGCTTGTAATTAAATAATAAATAGATAATAAAGTTTTAAATCTTTAATAAAGTTTAACAATTGTATATGAGAATTCGAAACACAAATTAATAATCCCGGGGATTCATGTATGAAAAATATGATCGAACAAAAAAAATTTTTGTTGATTTCATAACAGTTTTGCAACAAAATGGGACCACACATGTTCAACCTTTCTGTTCTGCATGAACATTTCATGTTTGAACAATTTCTGGCATCTTTTAAAAATTTCTTGTTTTACTTTAGAAATCCCAAGCCCAAGCATTTGCGACTCTATCAGTACGTGAAATATTGCAACACAATATTTTTGTCAACAAATCACAATATATCGGAATATCAATATTATTGCGCAGCCTAATTAAAAAATTGAAATTAATATCAGTAGGATGTGTAAATGCTTCTTGCAATCTGCAGGTCAGTTACCCTTTAATTTATCCTGGTTGGACTTTTTTATTGGTTGGGATTTTTTGATTCCCAATTTGGATTAGAAAATAGGAGCATAGGAAAAATTCTTTTATTTTCAAGCTGCATTTTAAACTGATTAAGATAAATAGTGATTCCAATTGCTGCTGTTCCTTGCAAAGGAATGGGCATTTCTTATGACAGGTATTAACTATTAAAAATATTTTCTTGTGCTATGTTGAGAAATTAATTGACAATGATAAACGAGAGAAAAGAAATAAATTTCTAAAGAGAGTCACACATAGTAGACTTTATAAACTGTTTTATATTTTTGTTTAGGTATGTCCTTACAAGACCTTTACCAAAGATGCAGAGAAGCTTTCCTCGTGAACAGTGATTTAACATTACGTGCTCAGTTAACAGAATTCAGAGATCATAAGCTGATCAAGTCCAAAAAGGTCTGTAAAGTTTGATTCTAATGCAATTGGTTTGTAAAACACATTTTGATTGGCTAATGTGCTTTGTTTGAAGCAGTAAAACGAGCATTAATGAGAGTGAAAGCTTCTCATTGTGACGTTATATAAATGGTGCCTGTTTTGGAGGGTAACGGTTGAAATTGACACCCCAAGGAAAACCATTGTCAACCGACTCTGACGCGTCGGTTGACAATGGTTTTCCTTGGGGTGTCAATTTCAACTGTTACCCTCCAAAACAGGCACCATTTATTTTATTATACTGAATGTCTTTTTGATTTAGGATGTCAGAAAAAAAAATCGTCAATCGTCTTTATGTTCACATTAAGAAAGCTTTCAAACTCCACGCTACTTCGATAAAGATTTACTGACCTCTTTATTGTTTACTTGATACTCTAAGAGTCCTTTATCATCTAAAGTTTCGTTATTCTGCACTCGCAAGCATGTTTCGTCTGTCGTTTGTTATTTTCAAGAAGGCTACATCGGATGCAAGCTTTTATTGACGTCAAATTTACTCCAGTTCTTTCAAACGCACAATTGACGTTTTGAGAATTCTACGGTGAACCGTACGCGCGTAATTTCCACGCATGTGACATTACCGTTGTGTTACCGTTGTCACGTGTGTTGCTAAGGCTGAGGGTAATAGAACGGATTGTTAAGTGCGGCTTAACCAATCAGAATTTAGTATTTAACATGAAAGTATAATAACATAAAAGAGCGATGCAAAAACACAATATGCCTTGACATATTTCATATAATGAAATTCAACAAAACAAGCATTCTGAGAGTATTGCATAAGCAATACATGTCCACTACTGGGTTCCCCTTTTTAGGTCACCTGAGTAACTCAGGTGACCTATTGCTATCCGTTTTCGTCCGTCGTCGTCCGTCGTGTGTCATGTGTTAACATTTGAACCTTTTCAGCTTCTTCTCTGAAACCACTGAACCAATTTCAACCAAATTTGGTATACAGCATCTATGGGTGGAGGGGAACAAAAATTGTGAATTTCATGGTCCCCGCCCCCCTGGGGCCTGAGGGGTGGGGCCAAAACCACTAAAATTAATGAAATCTTTAAAAATCTTCTTCTTTACTCCTGGACATCAAGCAGGCAAACTATTGGCATGAATGTAATGAGCATTGAGTCCTCTACCAAAATTGTGAAATTCATGGCCCCAGGGTCAGGGGTTCTAGTGCTAGGGTGGGGCTTTATAGATAATATAGTGAAAATGCATTATTTCTTTGAAAATCTTCTTCTCTGCTCCTGGGTATTAAATACACTAACTAAGCACATAGTTATGATGAGCAAGAGTGCCTCTTCCAGATTTGTGAATTTTATGGCCCCAGGGTCAGGGGTTCTGGTGTTAGGGCGGGGCTCTATAGATTATATAGTGAAAATGCATTATTTCTTTGAAAATCTACTTCTCTGCTCCTGGGTATTAAATACACTAACTAAGCACATAGTTATGATGAGCAAGAGTGCCTCTTCTAGATTTGTGAATTTTATGGCCCCAGGGTCAAGGGTTCTGGTGTTAGGGCGGGGCTCTATAGATTATATAGCGAAAATGCATTATTTCTTTGAAAATCTTCTTCTTTGCTCCTGGGTATTAAATACACTAAATAAGCACATAGTTATGATGAGGAAGAGTGCCTCTTCCAAAATTGTGAATTTTATGGCCCCAGGGTCAGGGGTTCTGGTGTTAGGGCGGGGCCCTATAGATTATATAGTGAAAATGCATTATTTCTTTGAAAATCTTCTTCTCTGCTCCTGGGTATTAAATACACTAAATAAGCACATAGTTATGATGAGCAAGAGTGCCTCTTCCAGATTTGTGAATTTTATGGCCCCAGGGTCAGGGGTTCTGGTGTTAAGTCGGGGCTCTATTGATTATATAGTAAAAATACATTTATTCTTTGTAAATATTTTTCTTTGCTTCTGGGTTTTAAGCCAATGATCCAAGTATATATATATTTATGATGAAGAAAGGTGCATCTTGCAAAGTGGTTTTTAATGCCCCCAGTGTCAAAGGTGGGGGGGGGGTTACATAGCCTGAAAATAAATTAATGCTTTGAAATCTGCTCTTTGGTATTAATCAACCATTTTATGATTAAATTTGCAAAATTTTGAAATATATGGCCCTAGGTCAGTGGTTCCTTTGGGGTGAGGTGCACAACTGGTTATAAAGTGGAAGTGCATTTTCTCTGTTACTCTGATCTACCTCTGGGTATTAAGTAAATAGAGTAAGCATGCTAAGTTAATAATTATGATAAGCAATGGTGCCTCTTTCAAAATTGTAAATTGTGAATTTCATGGCCTCCGGTTTAAACATGAACCAAATTTAATTGTTTGAAAGTTGTTACACAATACTCAGGTGACCTATAAGGCCCGTGGGCCTCTTGTTCTCTAGAATGTCATTTTATAATATGCAAAAGTTATGACCACTGTAAAACTGCTTAATGTTAAAATTTTGAGGTTGTGCATGCCTTTAACCTTAAAAGACATTCCACATAAAGATGAAAATTCAACTCATTTTTTCAACATTTTTTTTTTTTACTTCATATTTACCATGTTGACCTTCGGAATTTAGCGCAGCACAAACCCGATCTTAAACCATTATGAAAAATTAAAAATACCTTAATTCTGTCAGAAATCAGTGAAGCAATACAACATTCAAACTTGATCTGTAACTCATTAAGATACACTCACATACCAAAATTCAGCTCAATATCTGCAAGTGTTACCAAAAAAAGTGCGAAAAACCAAGTAGGACAGACTGACAGACAGACACGGGACAGACGGATGGATGGACTGACTGATGGACGGACAGACTTAAACTTAAACTTGTGCTGCATAAATTACACTTATGTTTAAAATTATTCAATCCACTTGAACTACAATTAAAAATCTTTGAAGTTTGAAGACATATCGATGAAAGAATTGTATTATTAATTTTTAATTTATATTGATACAAAATTAAATCATAAGGAATACAAGTTATATGTTTATGTAAAAAAAATGGTTTGAAACAGTTTTCTTTTTTTCCCAACTGTTTTGCAGTTTATAAAGCATGACCTGTTCCAACCTAATTTATATTATATAAATAGAGAATATATTGATTTCTTTATTTATATTAAATTTAACTCTCTATGCGAACAGTTCATAACTTCAGTACAAAGTATATTTAATGGAATGCTGAAATAATAAAACAAAGACATATTTTACTAGATAGTTTTGGATCTTTTAAATAAATTGAAAAAATATTGATTACTTGCAGGGTTTTGAAGGAATTGAATACCTTGTAATCCCAGTGGACAATGCTACACTAACAGAGTTCATAGAACAGCATGATAGTAATGTGTAACTGAAAGCTGGACTTCAATTGTGATTCAGTTCATCCCAACAAACATAACATTGACAATAAATTTGGTGCAGTTGTATGTCAAATTAATATATGTGTTTAATATTGAACATTGTTATTTGCAAAAAAAATTGTAATTAACTTATTGGAATTGAAAAATAAATTTAGGAGTATCCATAGGATGATGTTTGCTGTTCATTTGTATGATTGATTTCTGTCTCAGGACTTTTTAATATGACCTTTTAATGAAAAAATACATGTACAGCTGATGTAGGGGTAGCATTGATTTTATTAAAAAGTCCATAAATGATCAATGGGCATGCTGTCCTGCCAATTATATGACCAGGGCATAAAGTGCTCGTCAGATATGTCCATCAAATCTTATGTTCTTGATCTGTCTCATCCTTCACATTTTGATGTTGCTTAATTTCAAACATACACAGATACTTTCAAAAACATGTAATTAGAGGTACATGTATTCAGTAAAAAATGAAGATAATCAGTAAATAAATCAACACTGAAAGAAACCAAATTGTGAACAGAGCAAGGACTCCTGAGATGGACCAGCTGCCATGGAGGAGTAGGCATCCCCTGTCAACTAGTGCTCCTCATCATGGTCTATTAAAGATATAAATAATATGAAAATAATTTAGTGTGATGATTAAGGCCTAACTCACACTTACTTATTTTCATATTTTTCCTTTTACTAGATCATGATAAGGTAAAAGGAAAAAACAAGTAAAATTGATGCAAAGCATCAAATCGGTCGCAAAAAAATGTAGCATTTTAAAAAGTACATTCACAATTTAAAAAGTATCTATACTAGGAAAGCACACGGTTTTCAAAGCTGAAATAGTGATCCTTTCTATATCAGACTGCCTTTAAAACAAAATAATTAATAAAAAAAAATAATAGAAATTTAGTGCATTTGCTCATCGAATGGATTCATCAATGTAATAAACTCATTGATAGGGTAGACTTGACTTTACCGGGCCCCAGATCCGCAAGATCTTCGAGCTCATTGGACTATGACGTAACATTTACGTCATTCAACTGATAAGGGTTAAACTTGCACACTTTTCGACTGATTAAGGTTAGTCTTGCACCCACCTGAGAGATTAGGGTTAGTCCTTGCACAAGTATTCGACTGATTAGGGTTAGTCTCGCATCCATCCGAGAAATTAGGGTTAGTTCTCGCACATTATTTGACAGATTAGTATGGAACGCCGTCACTGCCTTATAGCAGAACACTACTATTGCATTGTGTCAACCTTCCATTACATTATGTCAACTCTTTATGACATTAACCCACACTACTATTGCATTGTGTCAACCTTCCATTACATTATGTCAACTCTTTATGACATTAACCCACACTACTATTGCATTGTGTCAACCTTCCATTACATTATGTCAATTCTTTATGACATTAACCCACACTACTATTGCATTGTGTCAACCTTCCATTACATTATGTCAACTCTTTATAACATTAACCCACACTACTATTGCATCGTGTTAACTTTTCTTTACATTATGTCAACTCTTCATGACATTTACACATACTACAATTTTATTTCGTCAGCTTGCATTTCGTTATGTTTACTTTTCATGACAATCTTGGTTTTTATTAACTGATGTGAAAAGCTCATACCATACTGTGCGCACTCTTCTACATTATGTCGATTCACTATTACGTTATGCGAACACAGGTATCCTCGGCCTTTATATGAGCATAACGTATTTTCCGCGTTCCGCAAGCACTAAAAATGTCGGGAGAGAAAACTGTCGTAGAAGAGATTCTCAGCTATTTCGGAATGACATCTTTAAATGAAAACTTTAAGCGACAAATGATTGACAATCTTGAAACATGCAAAGCCTTTACACTGCGACTGTGAATTAAAGTCACGTCGAAATTCAATGGTGTTTACTTGTATCTGATAATTAAATAAATCAAATATTATGAGTCGTGCAGCAATCATTTTTTTTTCTTTTTATTTTGAACTTTTTTTTTTTTTTTTTTTTTTTATAAAAGTCTTAAACTTTGTAGGACATTGCATTAGTTTCACATTAAGTTTAGCTGAATTAAGTTGAAAACTTTTTTCTATAAAAGTATAAAGCCTGAGAGCTTCTCCGCTTTCCGCCCTTGGTCTCCAACCATATACCGCCCCCCTTCCTTGTTCAGGATTCCCATATCTGCCACTGATATGAGCCCATGCATGCTTACTAAGGCATATTCAATTGATTTAGATGAGCGACTGGTAGATTTTTGTAATAGAATTCTGGCCCTGGAATGATTAAAAAAAATTACTAACTCCAGTGACGTAGCATCTTTTTTTTTTGAAAGAGGAGGTCAGCCAAAAAAAAAATCATTTACCCAAAAAACTTGACAAGCCAAGAAAAAAAAGTCCAAGCCCGAAAATCCTATTTCGGGGAGAGGGGTCCAACTTCAATCAGTCCCATTTTTCCCCAGATATATTACATTACCCTTAGCGGAGTACAGTGTATACTTCAACAAGAAGTGGGGGTGGGGGGCTGTACAATTTCAATGAACATTACATTTTCTATAGTAAAGTTATGTCTGGGAAAAGAGGGGGGGATATTATGTGCCTGTAATTTATCCTAATCAATCAGGAACCCCCCCCCCCCCCTTCTTACCAGTCATTAACACACGGTCGTCAACATTCATTATATACTAGATATACAGCTTTGAGATAATGATGTATTTTTACATCAGGTAATGAACTTTTGGAATCAACATGATAAAGAGTTAGCACAATATAAGGATATTTTTAAATCACATAAGAAAGAGTTGACATAACGTAATTATATATCCACATCACGGAATGGAGTTTTGACATAATGTAATAAAGTATTGATATAATATAAAGATATGTTCACATTATGTTATACACTTTTTACACCACGTAATAAAGCACTGACATAAAGGTAAGATGTGTTCACCTCACATCATGATGCCCTCGCCGTAAAATAAAGATAAATCCATATCACGTAATAATGCTTTGATATAATAGAAATATACACTCCCAAAAAGGAATGGGCTTTTGACTTCATGTAATGATAAGTTTAATTATAAAACACAATTTACTTGAGGTAGTTTTGACCTCACATATTAAAGAAATGAAATGATGTAAAGAAACATTCATTTCACGTAATAAAGTTTTAACACAATGTAAACACATTATCACTTCACATAATGAATTTTTTACTTCAAGTTATGAAGTGCTGACATAATGAATAGAGGATATTCAATGTTTTGTAGTTGAATATGGAATTTATTTCACGAGTGGGACAGGATTTTTGATATTTTCTCGAGTGCGAAGCACGAGTGAAAATATCAAAAAATCCTGTCTCACGAGTGAAATAAATTCCATATTCAACTACAAAACATTGAATTTTCTGTTTATGACATTTTCTTTGATTTTTCCCTTGCCTCTGTCTTTTTGTAATACAGTCATAGGCTCGTGACGTCATAGTTGAGCGGTTGAGACGTCATAGCTAAGTGAGGTGAAAACACTGTAAACATGGATTTAGCAACATATTTTTGGTAATTTTGACAGTTTTATTCGCTGTCAGAATGGTTTATTTATTTCCATCTATCTTATATTAGGTCAAGGAAGATTTTTTTTACAGCAATCTTCGCTATGGGAAGGGAAATCGAGAGTTTTCCCGCACTTCTGATATTCGTCACACTGTGACAGGATATCATTTTGATCTATCCTTTCACACTGTGACAGGATATCATTTTTATTCAATGAATGAATTACAGTATTTCACGGGTAAAAATGTAATAAAAGGAGTTAGTTACTTCATGTAATGCAGCATTGACATCATGTTAAGATATATTTACATCATCTCATAAAAAATGGACATAACGTAAAGATATGTTCACATCACGTAATCATAAACTGACATAATAAATGCATCTATTAGTTGTATGCTATAAGGCAGTGATGGCGTTCCATAGATTAGGGTTAGTCTAGCATCTGCCCCGAAGATTTTGTCTAAACGTCTTAGCCCTTGCATACCATCCGAGAAATTAGGGTTAGTGACTCGTTCTTTTAGATAAGTTAAGAAATCGGTTGTTTCTGTAATTTTTGCAAGATCATAATTCAGCTTTAATCATGTTAATGGCATTTCGTTGGTTTGTTTACATGGAAGAATGCCTAAGTCCGAAAAAAAATGACACTATAAGCATGCGCCGCACACGATTCGTTCAGAATTATTCTTTGTCCATTTTTTCCATAAATAAACAATATTTATTAATCTTTTCAGAGAACAATGTTAAAACATTTGTTAAAATAAGAAGTTTTAAACTAAACTTTTAACCGTAGAATTCGATTTTGGGGTCAAAAAGGCCAAAAACTTCGTATTTTAAATTTTTTTTCGATCGCTCGCGCGATCTCATATATACTGAAGTCGCCTTCGGCGACACTACATTTTAGCGCGTTTTTCTGGGGACCGGTAAAGTAAAGTCGTTCCCATTGATAAATCATAAGAATTTATTGTCATCAAAATGAAGATGTAAGCCTCTAAAGATGAACCACGTGCTAATACACTGGATCTTTGTCACGTGATAATGTCACTGGTTTCTGCAGAGAATTCAGGCTCTGCTGCAAGGCGCGGTTTAAAATTCAGAAAACACAGTCATTCGCAGCTGAAGCATATTCATATCAATTGAACAACTTTTCAATTTTTAATAACCATGCACTTTTACAACGTCATTATTATCCGGAAAATCATGACGATTTCCTTTCATATCTTAAACACTCCCGGGCCGGGGAGTACCTATTGACTCTTTTGTGTAACCATAAATTGTCAATTATCTGATGAGAAATGATAATGAAGTTGAAACATAATAACAACAATTAATATTTAGTTTAAAGCAAGTTTTTAAAATATTTTACTCATGATTTTATACATATAATTTAAAAATTAATTAACTGAACTAATCCAAAAATAACGTCTGATTTCCCCATGTGCACTTTCTAACACAACCACAAATAGATCGGCCGCTGCGGCCGATAATAATTTAGTGTGACAATTAAGGCCTAAGCCGAAATATGGCAGAAATATTACCAACTCGGCATAAAACAACAATAATCAAATTAAGAGGCCTAAAAATATATACAATATTAATATCAATATC